TTGCTGAATCTTCCAATGAGGTCTAGTAACTTTTTTACTGAGTCTTTGGGGTTTTCTATGTATAGGATCATACTGTCTGCAAATAGAGTTTTACTTCCTCTTTGCCAATTTGGATGCCTTTAATTTCCCTGTCTTGCCGTATAGTTTTTGCTAAGACTTCCAGCACAATATTGAATAGGAGTGGTAACAAAGAGTATCCTTGTCTGGTTCTTGTTCATAGAGGGAAGGCTTTCAGTTTCTCTCCATTGAGAGTAATGTAGGCTGTTGGTTTTGTATATATGCAGTTAATTATGTTGTGGAATTTCCTTTCAATTCATACTTTGTGAGTGTTTTTATCAGGAATGGATGTTGGATTTTGTCAAATGCCTTTTCTACATCAATTGATATCATGTGGTTCTCTTCTTTTTTCTTATTTATATGGTGGATAACGTTGATCGTTTTTCTAATGTTGAACCATCCTTGCATCCCTGGTATGAATCCCACTTGATCAAGATGTATTATCTTTTTGATGTGCTGCTGGATTCTGTTGGCTAGGATTTTGTTGAGAATTTTTGCATCTATGTTCATGAGGGATATTTGTCCATAATTTTCTTTCTTAGTGCCATCATTTCCTGGTTTTGGAATGAGGGTTATACTTGCTTGATAAAATGTTTTAGGAAGTTTTTCATCCTCCTCTATATTCTGGAATAATTTGAGTAGAATTGGTGACAGGTGTTCCCTGAATGTTTGGTAGAACTCACCAGTGAATCCATCTGGGCCTGGACTTCATTTGGTTGGGAGTTTTTGATGACCTGATCAATTTCTTGTTTTGTTATGGGTCTGTTCAGGATTTCTAAGTTTCTACATTTGTTGGAGTACAACTTTTCATAGTATTCTGTTATTATTCTTTTCATTTCCTTTGGTTCTGTTGTGATATTACCCATGTGGTTTATGATGTGTGTTATTTGTGTCTTCTCCCTCTTTTCTTTTGTTAGGTTTCCTAATGTTCTGTCAATTTTGTTAATCCTTTCAAAGAATCAGCTTCTTGTCCTGTTGATTCTTTCTATGGTTTTTCTGTTTCGATCTCATTTATTTCTGATCTAATCTTTATTATTTCTTTTCTTTTGGTGGCTGTAGTTTCCCTCTGTTGGTCTGTTTCTAATTGTTGTAGATGCTGTGTTAATGTGTTAATTTTGGTTCTTTCTTCTTTTTGGATGTGTGCATTTATTGCAATAAATTGTCAATTCAGGACTGCTTTTGCCGTGTCCTAAAGATTTCAGTATGTTGTGTTTTCGTTCTCATGTGTTTCTAGGAACTCTGTAAGTTCACGTTTAATTTCTTATACTACCCAGTCACTTTTCAGGAGGGTGTTATTCAGTTTCCATGTATTTGACTTTATTTCCTTGGTTTTCCTATTGTTGATTTCTAATTTGATAGCATTGTGGTCTGAGAAGATGTTTTATAGTATTTTGGTATTTGTAAATTTTTGGAGATTTGTTTTGTGGCCTAAAACATGGTCTATTCAGGAGATGTTCCATGTGCACTGGAAAAGAATGTGTATTGTGCTGCTGTTGGGTTGAATGCTATGTATTCATCTATGAGGTCCAGTTAGCTGATTGTGTTGTTTAGTTCTTCTGTGTCTTTGTCAAGTTTTTCTGGTTGTTCTACCCATTTTTGAAAGCAGTGTATAATTAAAATCACCCACTATTATTGTAGATTCATCTATTTCTTTCTTCAAATCTATTAAAGTTTACTTTATATATTTTGGAGCTCATTGGGAGCATAGATAATTATTATGGTTATGTCATCTTGTTCAGTTGTCCCTTTAATAATGAGATAATGTCCATCTTTATCGATTATGGTGGTTTTTTGCCTTAAAGTTTATTTTATTAGAGATTAGTACTGCCACTCCTATTCATTTTTTATTTCAATTAGCTTGGTATCTTTTTTTCCATCCTTTGAGTTTTAATCTGTTTTTGTCTCTGTCTGTGAGATATGATAGAACAGTAATGTTAGGATAGAGGAACAGACCCGACACTTCCTTGTTTGTTTTTATTACAATTAGCTTGGTATACTTTTTTCCATCCTTTGACTTTTAATCTGTTTTTGTCTCTGTCTGTGAGATATGATAGAACAGTAATGTTAGGATAGAGGAACAGACCCGACACTTCCTCACCCCCGCCCCAATGTTAACCCCGCCCTGCCCACAGTAGAAGAAGATAACTAAATAATTAGGAGGCAAAAAGAAGATAAGTCTATGAGCAATAAGAACATCAGAGATAGGCACTGTAAAGAATACATACCCTAGACAGTCATGATCAGATGTCTATCTCGCTGGCTTTCAGAGAGGGACCCAGTCGCCTATTGTGTACTATCTCTTTCTATTAAACCTGCTTTCTTGCATTCCGGTTGTCTTGCTCAGATCGTGCATCCGCGACACCTCGCCTGCATCTGCGACTCCTTGCTAGAAGTCAAGAATTCCTGTGGCATGTTTGGTAACAATAGTGACTTTTTATATGGTTTCCAAGACTTTAAATACTTTCAGGAGCAGACAGCTTCATCTTTTAACCACAGAGCGACTTTTGGGTTTGAACTGCTGACTTTGTGAACTGCCTACTTAGCAGTCCTGTGCTTATTCTATAGTACCACTGTTGTTGTTGTTGTTGTTAAGTGCCTTCGAGTCGGTTCCGACCCATAGTGACCCTGTACAGGGTTTCCGAGGGTGTAAATCCTTACGGGAGCCGCGGAGTGGCTGGTAGTTTCGAACCACTGACCTTAAGGTTTGCAGCCCGATTCGTAACCACTACGCTACCAGGCTCCTAAATATAGTTGTTGTTGTTAAAAAGTACTGTCGAGCTCTTTGCGAAAGACTTGGTCGCAGCTGCAGGTTTCCTCGCTCGGCCCCGCTCCTGCTCCTGACTCACCGCTGCTCACTCTTGCTGAGGAACGAGTAGGTCAGGAAGCCGCACCGCCACCATGGCTTTTAAGGATACCGGAAAGACCCCCGTGGAACCAGAGGTGGCCATTCATCAGATTAGAATTACTCTATCCAGCCGCAACATGGAGTCGCTGGAGAAAGTGTGTGCTGACTTGATTAGAGGTGCAAAGGACAAGAACCTGAAAGTGAAGGGCCCAGTTAGGATGCCTACCAAGACCTGAGAATCACAACAAGGAAGACTCCTTGTGGTGAAGGTTCTAAGACCTGGGACCGCTTCCAGATGAGAATCCACAAGCCACTCATTGACTTGCGCAGTCCTTCTGAGATTGTTAAGCAAATCACTTCCATCAGTATTGAGCCTGGAGTAGAGGTTGAAGTCACCACTGCAGATGCTTAAGTCAACTATTTTAATAAATTGATTATCCATTGGTAGATTTTGTTGGCTTTTATTCAGAATACCAACTGTTTTAGTAATTGTTTAAATGCTATGCCTAGTAATGAATGAAATATAGTTTGGGTAAAATTACTGCTGTTTAGATTTCACTGTTTGTCCAAAACAATAGAGCTAGTTAATGGCATAGCTGCAATTTTAAACAGGCTCGTTAAACTTAAGATCTCTGAGTTCCAAGTTGACTTTGGTTTTTTTTCATAGAGAGAATGTCTCTACTAGAATCATATCCCTCGGTGGCAAAAAGCAAAAGAATCCCAGAAGCACCTTGGGAGAAAGGCCTGGTGATCTGCTTATAAAAAAAACAAACCCTGTGGAGTTTGGGTCTGATCGATAACCCAGGATCTATGGATCAATAACAGGGTTTGGTAAAATGTAGTTTGTGAAACTTCTATGACTTCAAGCTGGGTTTTGGTGACAGGTAAGCAGTGTTATAAACTTCCAACATCTGTTCATAAATTGATGATCCACTCAAATTTTTCATAGTAAGACATCTGTACAGACGAGCTATCAAATGAAATATTCCCAGAAATCTTTGTCTTTTAGGCCATGCATGATCTGTCGTGTATCCAAATTTAATCCTTCCCCTGTCTGACATCAAAAGTCTTTTCTTTTTTTTTTTTTCCTTTAAGCAGATTAAACATGGTTTTGAAAAAAATAAAAGTACTGTCGACTTGGTTCTGATTCATAATGACCCTGTATAAGGTTTCAGAGGAGTGGTTGGTGGGTTTGAACTGTCAACCTTGTCGTTTGATGTCCAGTGGTGATCCTACAGTGCCACACCAGGAGTGCCTTAAATACAGTTGTTGTTAAGTGCCGTATAGTAGGTTCTGACTCATAGAAAACCTGTGTAGGTTTTTCGAGGCGACTGGTTTGAACCACTGATCTTGTGGTTCAAACCGACCTCATAGTCCTGCGCTTTATCCTACAGTGCGACACCAGGACAGGGCAGTACACCCAGTTAAATTTGTATTTTAAATAAACAGCCAATACTTTTTGGTAGAATACCCCATTGCAATAGTTATGGGGCACTTCTACCTCATCATTATGTATCATATTTAACTGAAGGGTCTAGGATTATATTTTTATTTGCTAAATCTGACAATTCTAGTAATTTCTGGAATCATTTGTTACCTATAAAATGAGGATGACAGTCATCCCTTATAAAGAGACTTGCACATGGTAAACCCTTAGATAACCTTCGAAAACAGGGAACTTTTGTAGAAGACATACAGAGGACTTCAAAAAGCACGTGGAAAAATGGAAATAAAGAGAATGGAATTTCTCCACGAACCTTTTGAAGCCCACTTATATATTAAACTAACGTGCACCCAAATGTATGCGAAACCTTATTAGACGGTTTCCTAAAGAGCACCGTGTTCTTTCACTAGAATTAACCAAAAATTTGCAAACTGCACTGAGAGGTTTGCAAATTAGCATTCAAAGTAATAATCTTAAAGTGTCCAAGCAACAGATAAAGTGGAAAAGGATTTTCCTTGGTTACAAGGAGAGCATTGGTTTAGTCCCTGAGCAGGCGCACAACGGTTTCTGCGGCTTCTTCCCCTTCCTGATGCCCCGCCTTACCCGAGAAAGAAGTCACGTGGGCGAGCCGGCGCTAATCTGAAGAGAACGGGTCTTGTCACGTGACCTAGGTCTTGTCTCACACCAAGTATGGAGCCGGAAGAGGGTACGCCCTTGTGGCGGCTGCAGAAGCTGCCGGCGGAGCTGGGCCTGCAGGTGAGCACCGGACGGTCGCCGGGGTTCCCTGTTGGCCGCCGTGAGGTCCAGGCCCGGTGTCCCTGTCGCCGGGCTCGCTCGGGATCCCCAGGGAAGGGAGGCGGAAGGGGCGTGATTTTGGGTGGCCGGCCCCCTACCTCCCCTGTGAAGCTGAAGAAGCTTGGGGTTTTGCCACCGTGGCCCGACTTTTGAGATCAAACGTTTCCGGCCCGCATCTGCACCCCCTTGGAAGCGGGCCATGTGCGCCCACGCGCGACTCTTAAAGCTTGTGATTTGGAGTCTGTAGTTTGCAGTCTCCTCATATACATTTCATTCATTGAGTACATCTGTCCCCGTGCTTGCTCTGTACCCATGAGCGCGACAGGAAGAAAAAAAAAAATATGTTAGGAAGGAAATGAAATAACCGAGAAACTTACTTTAACTAGAATGGTGCAGGATGGCCTTTCCCTTAAAAGGTGACATGTATGTTGACACTGAACTTAAGGAACCTGGTGAAGTTTGACAAAAGCAGCTTCATTCTGGCCGTCCAGGTATAGCACCAAATGGCAAATACCTTGGGGTTTTGTCTTTAGCCCGTCCTAATAGAAGGTGAAAACAAGAATCCAGAATGGTTTTTTGTTGTTTACCTTACTTCTCTTTTTTTTTTTTTCTGTATCATATCCCATTCACCCACTCCACAAACAGGACTTCTGATTGCCACTACCGCATAATGTTATCTTTAGTCATCCTTCTCAAAACCATAATATATAGAACTAAATATGTACTCCATAAACAATAATATAGCCATAAAACAATTTTTTAAAAATCTAGGATTTTTGTGGTGTGGCGCTGTGGGTTAATGCACCAGACTGCAAAGCCGTTTGAACTGCAAGGTCGGCAGTTCAAGCTCACCAGCTACTCCTCGGAAACCCTCTACTGGGTCGCTATGGGTCGGAACCAACTCGACGGCACTTCACAACACAACAGTAATTTTTAGTTAATATGAGTAATTTTCAGAATAATTGAATATTGAACTTAACTGCTGCATATGGCGTGAACTTTTCCTGACAACATATTGGCTACAATGCAAATAAATAGGTTGTGTATTCATACTTAGAATTAATACGTGTTTCCTTTTTCTTTGTAGCTTCTCCACAAAATAATTGATGGCATTTGTGGGCAGAATTATCCTCTACACCAGGATTATCACAGCATTTGGGATTCAACAGAATGGATACACGTTCTAGAAGATACTACCACATTTTTCAAAACTACAGTGGGTAAAAATGTATCTGATGAAGAGGTAACTTCACTCCAAATTTCTATCCTTTATAATGAACACATGCTAGCATTTTAAAAAAAATTAAATTGGTCTTTAGGATGCTATACAAGACTCATCATCAGTAGTACATATGTAAGTAAAAAACGTCAATAGTTTTGAGTAAATGAAACTGTGGAAGTTAAGGGTTTTTTGGTTGTTTTAATTTTTTAAATTGTGTAACCTTTAAAGCATACAGAAATTAATATAACAGACACCTACATTCTTACTACTATAATTAAGCCGTTGTTTTACACTTTGAATTCCGGCTATTTGCTTTTAAAAGTAAAGCATTACTACTGTTATTGTTGTTTGCAATTAAGTTCAGTCTAACTCAAGCAACTTTGTATAGGGTTCCCAAGGCTGTAAATCTTTATAGGAACAGAAAGCCTCAGCTTCTGCAGAGCCGATAGTAGATTCACACTACTGACCTTGTGGTTAATACCCCAGTGCATAACTCACTATACTACCGGGATTCCTTAAAGCATTATGTTGTTGTTGTTCTTAAGTACCGTGGAGTCGGTTCCGACTCATAGTGACCCTGCACAGGGTTTCCGAGGCTGTAAATCTTTACGGGAGCAGAAAGCCTCATCTTTCTCCCGCGGAACCGCTGGTAGTTTCGAACTGCCGTGCTTGAGGTTAGCAGCCCGATTCGTAACCACTACGCTACCAGAGCTCCTTAAAGCATTATAGATATAACTAAATATTTTCCTACTCCCACATACTACCCTCCATCCCCAGAGATCACCACTTGCCTGAAGTTGGTTTAAGGAGACAGGGTGATGTAGTAGGTTAAGCACTAGATTGTTAACCACAAAGTAGTCCAAACCTACCATCTACCCTGCAGGAGAAAGATGAGACACTCTGTCTCTTTAAAGACTTTTGTATTCGGCATGGTTTGGATGTTTGCATGAAATAATGTATATAAAAACTTGGGGTATTTAGATGTATAACTTGTAAAGGATAACATTTGCAAATTGTTTTTTTTCCATGAAATACTATGTTTTGGATATTTCCCATAGCTAGATGTAGCTCCAGTTAACAAATTTTAATCCCTTGTATTAGTTTAAAAAAGATTTATGTGTTCCCCTATTAATGGACAGTTAGGTTATATTGGCTGTTGTTGTTGTTGTTAGGTGCCATCGAGTCGGTACCGACTCATAGCGACCCTATGCACAACAGAATGAAACACTGCCCAATCCTGGACCAACCTCACTATTGTTGCCACACTTGAGTCCATCAATGCTGCTATCTGGCCAGTCCATCTTGTTGGGGGTCTTCCTCTTTTTTTTCTGACCCTCTACCCTACCAAACATGATATCTTTCTCCAGCGACTGGTCCCTCCTGACAATATGTCCAAAGTATGAAAGACGAAGTTGGGCCATTTTGGCCTCCAAGGAGCATTCTGGCTACACTTCTTCCAACACGGATCTGTTTGTTCTTTTGGCAGCCATTGGCAGCCTCTGGCACTTTCAGTATTGGCTGGTCTTCGCTATAATGAATACTATTGCTACAGACAGTCTTAAATCTGTTCCTGAGCACACACGGGATATCTTTTCTTGGGTGGTTGTTAAGTGCCATGGAGTCATTTTGAACTCATAGCGTCCCTATATTGGGTTTCCAAGGAGTGACTGGTGATCTTTAACCATCGACCTTGTGGTTCAAACCGACTTTGCAGTCCAGCACATTAAGTTGTAGTGTCATGGGATATTATGGTCTCACTCTGCTAGACTCTTTTTATTTATTTTTTAATTATTTTTTAAATACTTGGAATGTTTTTGTTTTATTCAGTTATGATTTAATTACACAGTTGCTCACAAAATATAAACTGTAAGATTTAAATAATTGAAAATTAAAATCATGCAGTTTATAATTTGATTGTGCATTTTGGTGACTGGTCCATATTCAAAGGGGCTTCAAAAAATAAAAAAAAATTGGTAGGCAAACAATTAAAAAATAATGGAGTTCTATCAAGGGAGAAGAGCATAAGCGGAATGTGGGACCCAATCCATAGTTGCAGCAACACCAGGGATGGAGGCAGAGATGAGGACTCTAGGCTCATGGAAAGAGAAAGGCTGTGGCCAGGAGGCAGGCTTGTAGGATATGCCCTTTGGTTGTTTAAATGAGTATATATTGTTAAGTGTTGTGTAAGTAAAAAACAAACAAACAAACAAAAAAAAAAACAGGGAATAGAAGCAAATGCTCTTGAAGATGCATGGAGGAGATTGTAATCATTGCAATGAAATGAGTGTAAAGCCGATGTTCTCCCATGTAAACTATCCCTCAGTTCACAATAAAAACATAAAAAAAAATAGTGGAGTTTTTCCACAAACCTTTTGGAGCCTGCTCATATGTTTGAAAATTATATGTATTCTACAATTGTTGGGTATATTGTTCTATCGTAATCCCCGTGATACAAGTTGTTAAGTGCTAGCCAAAAGTTTTGTACTTGAAGCCCATCGACAGGTGCCTGAGTTCTAGTGATTTGTTTTCAAAAGTCCACAGCCCTGAGAACTCTCTGGAGCCCAGGTGTACTCTGTACATGGGATTTGTAGGAGTCAGAATTGATTTTACAGCAACAAAGAATAACATCAGTGTTCTACATGTGGTTTACGTTAAGTAGAATCATAGTATTTTCTATTACTTCTGTATCTTTATTGATTTTTTTGTTGTTGTTGCCTTCTGTCAGTTACTGAAAGATACATGAATGTCTCATTTTAGTTCTGCTAAGTTTGCTTGGTATGCTTTGAAACTGTTGTTAGGAATACAGAAATATAAGATTGTGATATATTTCTGTTGAGCCATCCTTTCTATTTCTTGCACTGCCTCTTGCCTGCAAAGCTGCATTATCTTACACATCCTGATAGTTTCACCAGCTTCAAGTTTCCAACCAGTATCCAGGCTGTGGTTTCCTTCTTGCCTCTGCTTCCAACTCTTTCCTTTATTCAGTGCTCTCCAGAAGTTGCTTAAAGTCGCCTGTTTGCTTGCTGTGCATTTGTGTTTTTTTATTTCATAGTTAACAGAAATAACTTCTTTTTATTCGTTTACTGTCATATTTAAGGGATATGTGACAAAAGAGTGAGAGTATGTGTTTACAACTTAAGCAGAAAGTTCCATGTGCTTATTTTTGAACAATTATTTTTATTTTCATAGATATATCAGCAGTTGAATCAGTTGAATTCATGTCATCAAGAAGCTATCATGAAATGCTTAAAAAGTCGAGCAGATGAAATCAAACAGGCTCTGTCAGGAGAAATTGTTGCCATTTCCTCTGCACAACTTCAGGATTTTGATTGGCAGTTAAAGGTGAGAGTATTGACTTATGACTATGTTTACTTTTATTTTTTAGATAGAGAGGAATATTAATTATTTTTCATAGAATGATGTGTCTTATATTTTGTGACTACATTCTACCCAAGAAACTAAAGATCATTGAAATTACGTCTTATGCATTAGCTTGGGCATAAGTAACACTACACATATCCAAACCATGAATAATAGCTTCACATCGATAATACTTTTGGTTAACTAGCTCTATAAATCATTAAATGTCATAAGGAGTAGAGCAGTATGAGAAGGTATCAAAAAGTCTGTAGAAAAGTTCCATTATCTTTTCATCCCATTTTTCTATAAACATTTTCGAAGCCGCCTCATATATATTCACCATGGTGTTTTAAAATTTTCTAGACCTTAAGATCTTCTTGATATTGGTAAATATGATTCTTTATGTAGGAAGAAAGTATTTAATATTATTAAGGAGAAATTTGGTAGACATTTTGAGTAGAGTCATGATCAATTTCAGATCAGTTTCAGCTCAACATTCATTTTAGGTAAACAACAAAGACATGCAGATAAGAAAACAAATGTACTGTATTTCTTGACTTTAGCGTGACCCTGGATAAAATGCCTCATATTGTCTTGTTCGTAAGACGGAGAACAGTGTGAGAAAATAACACAATTAAATGGACTCATAGCTCGATAAATAACCTCCCCAAAACAGGTGAAGTTGTAATACTTAGAAGGAGTTCTCTGTGTTTCTGGCATTGGCCCAGAATTCTTCAACATTTTTATGAATATTATGCGTATCTGAAGGGGATATAAAAGTGAGGTATATTTAATATGTAATATGCGTATCTGAAGGGGATATAAAAGTGAGGTATATTTAATATGTAATATTATATAATCAAAGTAATATTATTTTACAGCCAATTACAGTAATGAACTAAATGAAGCCAAATAAATTGAGCAAACATAACCTAAATAGAGGCTTTTTCATTTAAATAAAGCCAACTCTAAAATTAAGAGCTATGCTAATAGTGTCTGTTAGAAATTTTAAGTTGTTTTGGTTTTACCAAAGTACAAGTTGAATCAGCACTATGTTGATTACAGCTGGTCCCTGATGTTCGATAAGGTTATGTTCCGAGAATTCCATTGTAAGGTTGGTTCTGACATAAGTTGAGTGCTTTTTGGGGGGGATTTGAAACATTATGTAGAAACCTACAGGTATATTTTAATATATACATATGTGTACATAGATGTAAAAAAATACACAAATCATAAAAATATACTCCTGACAGTGGGAGAGTTAGGCAACATTGGCTTTTTGTCAGTTACAGTAAGAACTCCACTTTTGGGAGTGTCTGAATCATCTGGATTGTCCCTGGAAATGAGAATGGTGTTTCTAGTAAAAAAATTAGTGATCATTGTCTTGTAAACCAGTTTAATTTGTATATTTTGTGATAAAATTATTAGTGCTTCCTGAATCTGCCTGTCAGTGTTAGCAAAGCAATCAAATTGTGAGTTCATGTTTTCAAGCAGCTAAAGTCCTTGATTTAGTTTAGAAGAAATTTTGGCTAATTTTCCACTCTAAGATTTTTTGACAGTCTCTCTCCTTCCTCTTCCTAATTACTTCTTTTCCAGCATTTCTTTCCTCTTTAAACCCCAGTAAGGTCTAATCTGTCAGTTCTCCATGATCTATGTATGAGCTTTCCATATCAGTGATACCAAGTTCTAAATTCAACATTCTTGCCTTCTGAATCGTTTTCCCACTCATCTCTCCCATCACGCTATCCTGACCAAATAGTTGGAGTGTGTTCACGTAACCCAGCAATTTTTTTCATATTCGCTGCATTTTTCATATTGTTTTTTCTATAACTTCCTCCTAGGAAGATTTGTCAGATATATTGATGGTCATAAGCACAGTTCCTTGTGACTCAAAATACATTGTAGTTTGTGTCTTAGTCTGGGTTTTCTAGAGAAGCAAAACCAGTGAAACATACATGTATATGTAAAGAGAAATTTTTGTCATGGAAATGGCTCACACAGTCGTAGAGGTGGGAGAGTCTTAAGTACAGGAGAACCAAGATCAGCAGGTCAGACAGCAGGCAGGCAATAGTGCAAGCCACTGGCTCAAATCCAAAGAACTGGAGGTTGGAGGACAGACCAGTTACAAAATCTAGACCCAGCAGAAAGCAAGCAAGTTTTGCTGGAGTATCTACTATATTGGAAGCAGACTGAACCCTTGAGTAAACTTCCTTTCAGTTGACTGGCTGCTCATAACTGACTTCATCTTAGAGTTGATTACACCATATTAGATACCACCAGGAGAATAAGTAGTGTCCTGGTGTGGCGATGCAGGTTAATGCGCTGGACTGCAAAGACACCTTGAACCTCAGGGTCGATGGTTCAAGCTCACTAGCTACTTCTCAGAAACCCTGTGCAAGGTAGCTATGAGTCAGAACCAACTCAACAGCACTTACCAACAACAACAATAGAGATAAACACATCTTGCTGCCGAACCACTGAGAATCCTCGCACAGTCAGGTTGACACAAAATCTTAACTATCACAGTTGGGTACTACCTGTTTTGGATTGCTTGGTAGAAATTCATTCTTTTAAGCAAAAGGTTGTTGTTTAATGCTGTTACGTCAGTTCCAAGTCATATTGACCCTGTATAAGGTTTCCGAAGAGTGGCTGGTGGGTTTGAACCACCTATGATGGTGGTGGTTTTGTACCAGGGAGTCGATTCCAACTCATAGCAACCCTGCATAGGGTTTCCGAGGCTGTTAATTTTTATGGGAGCCGAAAGCCTCATCTTTCTCCCATGAAACAGCTGGTAGTTTCGAACTGCTGACGAGGTTAGCAGCCAGACTTGTAAACACTACACTACCAGAGCTCCTTAAAAGTTGTATAGATGGGAGAGTAAATATTCTGCATAACTACTGAGGCTAGAGGAAGGGCTATAATACATCATTTGCATTAAGATAGATTTTAATTCAATGTAGGGAAGAACTTTTAACATATGAATATCTGAAAATGATTTATCCTTTTACTGTATCATGTTAATCATTGGTGGTATTCAAGCGTATGCTGAGAAACCACTTGTTGAAAATAGTAAGAAAGAAAATTAATCATAAGTGGACAACCTGAAACAGGTTCTTTCAGATCTCAAGTATTCTGAATCCTTTATTTGAAGAGAGCATGGAGGAGATACATAAGGATTGGATTCTACAGTCTAGGTATCACAAGTAGGATCTTTCGAGGCTGACTGTTAGGGAAGGAGTCCCTTATCAAAACACAAGTCATTTTTGCAAGTGATGATGCTCTGCATAAGGATTCATTTCTTTGGGGATTTTCCTACTTGGATTCCAGGAAAATTGAGTTTCCTTTTGGCATCTGCCAGTGAAGCTACAGAGCTTGTCTCAAAAAGTATTAGTACCAGGAATACTTAGTTCTTCCACTTCCTGTAAGATGTTCTTTGGGAACAAAAAGAAAGAAGTTAGGCAAATGACTTGAGTATTTTTGTTTAGTGACTGTAATGAAAGATGGTATCTTGATAACATATTTGTAAACAGCTTAGTAGCTAGCTGATCATGCATTAAGCATCTTAATTTCTGAGCAGTTAGCAGTGTTTTAAGCTCATTTATCTTCGTATATGGACTTTCATGCTGTTTGCATCTTCACCTTTCTTGCTGCATTTGTCCTAAGTATTTCCCAGCCACACACCTCTGAATAACTGTTTCTGCCATAAATGCTAACTTGTCCTCTTTTTCTAACCTATTGTCTTTCTTTTATCCACTGACTTTTTTTTTTTTTCTTTCAATTAAATATGTGATGTTTTAGTATGTTGTTGTTGTTGTTGTTGCTGTGTGCTGTAGAGTCAGTTTCAACTCATAGTAACCCTACATCGGGTTTCTGAGGCTTGAAATTGCAAGAGCAGAAAGCCTCGTTTTTCTCCTGTGGGGCAGCTGGTAGACTAGTGCCTCGTACTTTGTGGTTTGCAGTCCATGCTTATCCTATGGAGCCACGACACTCCTGTTGTTTTAGCATAGGTTTATTTTTTCCACCTTGCTTTGTACTTGACAACAAACATTAATACTTTGTGTTTTTTTTGTACTATTGCTAAACGCTGATGCATATTTAATACAGTCCTCCATAACTGTTTTTTAATTACCATTTCCTTAATTTTAAACAGCTTGCGCTTTCTAGTGACAAGATTGCAACATTACAAATGCCACTTTTAAACCTTCATTTAGATGTAAAAGAAAATGGTGAAGTCAAACCATACTCTGTTGAAATGAGTAAAGAAGAGCTGCAGAATCTAATAAATTCCTTGGAAGCAGCTAATAAGGTATTTGTTTTAATTTTGTTGTGTGGTTTAAGTTTTTACAGTTTTGATACCTTAGAGCAATATGAGGAAAACTCAAAGTTGACTTAAAATATTTCTTTGTTGCCTGCTGTTTAATGCCGTTCATAGGAAAGTACTTTACAGATAGGTTCTACAGCTCTACTTTGAGATATTAAGTGGAGTATATGTTGTCATTTTCAGTTACTTAGTTTGGAGCGTGACATACAAAAAAGCTCATTTTGAAAGAATAATAGAGCTTTTTTAACAGTTGGATTAGTTTTGCTTCAGTGCTTATTAATGATAAAAATAAAATTTTTACCTTGGGGCTGGTGAAATTAGTTTATTCTCAAGTTTATAATCATCATAATCCTGAAGAAAAATATGTCTATTTTAACTGGACGAATAATCGAAAATTGCTTCTATGATTCTGTAGCTATAGAACAACACATGCCTTAGAGTTATTATGACAAAGTCAGGTTGAGACAAGATAGAATTAACGAAAGACCTTAAAAACGTTATGTTGACAAAACCCAAATCCAAAGCCCACTGTCATCGAGTCGATTCTGACTCATACGACCCCTATCTCTAGGGTTTCTGAGGCCAATTGTGAAAGATGTAACAACTGAAAGACTCCCACTTTTTTCCCCCATGGAGCCAGTGGGGGATTTGAACCACTGACCGTCCACTTTCATTGGTTAATAAATATGGGAAATAATGTTTTAAATATTAAAAACTGCTGCTGTGAGGAAAAATGAGAATAATTCTCTTTATGTGAAGGTAAGTCAAAAAGTACCGCTATGAGGGTTCCAGTAGTGATATGCACAGGCTTGTCCCAGCTACAACATGTTTAAACATGTCTCTGCGATCAGTGTACATCTGCAGACAGGTTCACTCAGTAATACACTTGGCTTAGTCTGGTTAGGATGACTTTGAAAATAAAGGTCCAATCACAAGAGCTGTTTTTAAGGGGATGTGCGGCTGTTAGCTGCCGTCGAGACCTTACCATCTCATCATGACCTTATTATGTACAACTGAATAAAAGGCTGCCTGGTCCTACGCCAACCTCACAATTCAAGGCAGACAAGCGTCTGAAAGATACGCCAACTATTTTTTGGGACTTCCAAAGAAAAGATTTTCACAATGGACACTGGCCAATTATAAGGGGCTTCTCATGAAGAAATTTTAAGAAAATTGAAAACTATATTGTTGAGAAAATGGGCAGGAAAGTTGTCCTGAGGAATTTTTTTCCACCATGACTATGCACCTGCTCTTTATTGTAGGGTAACAAGAGCTGTCCTTTGAGTATCTCCTTGGGAAACCTTACCCCAGCCACCTTATAGCCCGAATCTTGCCCTTCAGACTTCATTTTGTTCCCCAAACTTAAAGGAATATTTCAAAGAAACATGATTTGAGTCCCTTGCTGTTTAAACATGGTATAAACTGAAATGCACAGGATTCTTTGGAGGAAGTTTGCTGTTGCTGACTACTGTCGAGTCTGTTTTGACTCATAACAACCTTGTATAGTTTTCCGAGGCTTAAAATCATCACAGCAGCAGTAAGTCTCATCTGTCTCCTGTGGAGCGGCTGGTGGGCTCAGCTGCCAACAGTTCACAGTCCAGTGCTGATCTGTGCAGCTTCCACACTTCCTTGGAGGAGACTCGGAGAGATGGAAACACTGCCATCATAAGCATCTAGACCTCGATAGGAGAGATGTTGAAAAACAGTTACTTCAACATTTAGATACTTTGGTTGAGTAAAGAATTCTGTGGTTTCATAGTAGCACTTTTTGGGTTACTCTCATATATGTCTGTCATTGATGCCCTGAATTTTCCCAGTCAATTCTTGCAAACCTCTCTTGCCATTAGGCAGTCTTTGTGGTCTTGTCTCTTGTAAATCCCGTAATTCTACAGCTTCCCTCTGTCCTCTGTAGTTGCCCAAACATTTTGGTACCTTACTGAAACAGGTCCACAGTAAGTAATCAAAGTGGTAGTTCAAACTCGGCTCGTCTTTGGATGACGTATGTCTGAAGAAGTATGTGGTAGTGCCTGGTATAAACTTTAAATGATTCCGGATCACAGAACCTAGCAGGCGTGTGTCATCAGTTATTGGGTTTTGTACTTGTTTTGGAGTTTGTATGCCATACCCTTCATCCGGAGCCCTGGTGTGGTGCTGTGGGTTAATGCACTGGACTGCTATATCAGTGATTCAGGCTCACCAGCTGCTCCTCAGAAACTTATACAGGGTCGCTGTGAGTGGGAACCAACTCGATGGCACTTAACAGCAACAACCCTACATCCAGATATATCCAAGTATTTTTTTTTAGCATGTATCAGCACCAATTTTATATCCCCTGATGCCCCCCCCCCCCCCATTTTTGTTTTAAGGTGGTCCTGCAGTTGAAATAACTGGAAATGAAGAATACCAACGCTATTAAATTTCACTGCTACAATTGACGATGGAGTGAATTCTGTGTTTGCAGAAAACCTGCGATGTATTAAGCCAAGCTGGGGCAGCAGCAGTGATGAGATTGCAAAGATACTTACCAGCTTCCTTAGAGACCAGGAAATGACATGGTTGACAGAGCGTGCATAAGAAATGCAGTAAAGATGAGAAAGCTGTTGTGGCAGTGAATATTTTCATAATGACTGTTTTGCCTCATTTATTTAATATTTGAAAAATCTTTATGGATGTATAGTTTAGTATTGAAAGCTAAAAATAGATTCTAATGTAATGTAAACATACAAAGCACACAAATATACTTGAATATTGCTTAACGAAGTATGTAAATAGCAAGAACATGTATTATGTAATTATTTGGTATTTTAAAGAATAACTTTTTTTTAAAATGTCTAAGCTGCATATATAACTCAGGAGATTACATATTTTTGTCATATTTCAAAGGAAAGAATAAAAATTCTTTTAGATAGAAAATCTTTAGACATGAATAGAAAAAAGTCTCCAAGTTTATGTAATAATTCCATGTGTATGAATTCTAGGAACTAAAATCTTTCACTAGAACACTAGAAAAAAAATGCAAATAACAGTTACTTCTCCATTTCTGTATGATCAGGAGAGTTATGTTCTGATAAAAAGAATTAGATGTTACTGTATAGTGTATATATTACTATCAAATATCAGATAAAAACAACATAGAGGTTCATTTTTTGCTACAAATGCTAACAATGAATTTAACACTGGGGTATTAACTTCATTGGCAGGCAAACCATTTTAACTTCAGTTAACTTTACAGAAATTATTCTGAACAAATAAAAAGTGTCATACTTTGTTTTTGCATATTGCTTTTTTCTTTCAAAGGATCTTCATTCATACAACTCAATAATCAGTAGTGTTTAAATTATTTGGCACTTGTTACATGTAAGCTTTATAGCTTATTAAGCCCATTACTGTTGAATTGATGTTTCCAGAGTAGAACTATGCTAGATAGTGTTTTCAGTTACTGCAGTTGCATTGAAGCCGAGTCCCTGGTGTCTCTCCCACGGAGCTCCTGAGTGGATTTGAGGTAAGAAGCTTTTGGTTGGTAGTCTTGTACTCAGCCACTTGCACTACCCACAGACTTGTATAGTTCATTAGAGTATTTGGATATTCTTAGAGGTTACCAGAGCAATTATTACTTTTTTCATCATACAAATGAGGATAGACTTAAAGAAGTTAGTATCTGAGTCTAATGGAAACAGAGCTACTCAAAGTACGTTCCACAGTCAATGAATTGTCTATTATTGGTGAGTGATGACACAAGGAGCTTGTGCTAGAATGTTCATCTGCTTCGTTTATGAAAACGGTGTCTTATGAACTAAACAGTGTGCACAATAAAGTAATTGATTCATTTTCTGATGCAAACTTCTCATACTCAGGGGTTTCAAAAGCTAATGGAAAAATTTCATTCTTGATCCATTTTTCCACAAACTTTTTGGAGCCCCCTCTGTAGTGAACAAACTCCTGGTGTGGAACTGTAGGATCAGCCCTGGACTGCGAACTGCAAGGTCGGCAGTTCAAACCCACCTACTGCAATAGAGAGTAATTATCAGGATTAATTAATTATGATTGTCACAACTGTAAATATAGAAGATGTGTAACTAAAAGAGAGTAGTTAATCTTTCACGAACAGGACCTTAGGACCAAAAAGAGTAGTGTGGGATCCTAACCAGAAAAGCAGAGACGGTGGCTGAGGTGATGCCATATAGGGAGCAGCTAAGGACTGTAGTTCCATGGACTGAGAAAAGATGTAGTGGGCCTCCGGGCAGGAGGTTAGCTTGCAAAGGGTGCCCTTTGGACATTTAAATGAATATATATATTTTGTTTTTTATGAGTACATCATCAGATAAAAGGAATAGAGGTAAATACTATTAACTGATGGTACATGGAGGGGATTATAATCATTGCAGTAACACAAAATATGATTTATTGAATGTAAAGCTGATAATCTGCCCTGTAAACTTGCACTCAATTCACAAGAAAAACTTTTTTTAAAAAAATGGGAAATTTTCACCAGCTTTTGAAGGCCCCTTGTGTATGTTGAAATTTAAAAAAAAAAAAATTATTTTCGGTTAATTGAGTTCTAAGTGTAACTCTGTGTTATGAAAGGTTATCATTTCTATGCCTGTGTCAGCCTTAAACTTAGTCGTCTGACTGTCACTTACCTGGTAAACCCCTGAGCCGCCATATCCCCATGTACTAAAATGGGGAAGAGCATAATCTCATAATTGGTGGATTCATTGTAATGGTAGCTTCATAGAGAAAAGTAGACAGGCTTACTAACACTAGGTGAGTGCAGGTAGGACCTTCTACAGGAGACGCACAGTTTCTTCAATTCAGTGGCATAAAAGAAGTGGGAAGGAGATTGCGCCAGACTCAAAGACACTTAAATAACCATATGCAACATGGCGATCTCATCTTGACCCTGATTTGAACAAACAATGTGAGAAAGGCATTTGTGAGACAATTGAGGAAATGTGAATAAGGATTAGGTGTTACATGATCTTGTTATATGCCAATGAGTTGACTCTGACTCATTAATTAAGTTGGTGTGTTATAATCGTGTTATGGTTAGGAACAAAGGCCCATAATTAATAGAGATCTATGTTGTTGTTGTGTGCTGTGGAGTCGGTTCCGACCCATAACGACCCTGTACAGGGTTTCCGAGGCTGTAAATCTTTACAGGAGCAGAAAGCCTCATCTTTCTCTCGCGGAACAGCTGGTAGTTTTGAACTTCTGACTGTGAGATTTGCAGCCCGATTCGTAACCACTACGCTACCAGAGCTTCTTAGAGATATACTAGAGGACTTTAGTTTGTGCAACAGTCTGAATGGGTAAAAGAGGGAAATAATGTAATAAAATAATAATAATGACTGACTTACTAATACTGATTTTCCCTTGCATACTGTTGTAAAATAATGAGCTCTGGTAGCGTAGTGGTTACGAATCAGGCTGAAAATCTTAAGGTAAGCAGCTCGAAACTACCAGCTGTCCCGCAGAAGAAAGATGAGGCTTTCTGCTCCCGTAAAGATTTACAACCTCGGAAACCCTGTACAGGATCACTGTGGGTCGGAATTGACTCGACAGCACTTAACAACAACTGTTTCAAAATAGAAAGGAATATCAGGAAACATGATTACAGAAAGCTTGTAAGCCCGTCTTCAGCCTCTAACTGATTAGAATACCTAAAAGGGGTTTACAACTTGCCCAGTGAAATAGTCTTTTTGCAGAGCCTTTGTACTGTGTAAGACCTGGGGTGAAATTCTGACTCCCATCCAGAACTTCTGAGGTGGGACATTCCTACTTGAAAGGACATGCAGACTAGCCTTGGATGGCTAGAGGAACAGAAGATACTTCTTGAAAGAAAGACCAGCAGGAAAAATAAAAACCAAAAGTGGCAGTCTGATTGGTTACTACAAGAACAAGCAAGTTGTTCACTGGGGAGCCATTAAGGCAAGCAAGTCCCTTCAGAACAAACCTCACTGCAAGACTGAAACTCAAAGAGAACACGTGAACTGGCATGTAAGCTTGCTAGTGACCACATTGGTCTACTGGTGAGAGGAAGTGGGGGAAAGGCAGCTATGAAGATAGGGCTGAGTATGACCATGTTCCATAGACTCCCATTGACCTTGAGATGAGAGAGAAGAGGAAGGGCTGGTTGCTCTAAAGTGTGGTGAGACCTGGGGACTCCTGAGCCCATGGATAAGGGCCTAGCCATGGAGGGCTAGAGTTGAGAGTAAAGTGCACAGCTGATAACGAAGTGAGGGGAGACACACAAGAACATCCAAATTTGCAGATAGTACCCATTTGAACTACCCTGGGCTTAATGGTCAGA